ACCGTGATTTCTCTGACACAAGTGGCAGGAAAATCCTTCCGAAAATGGACATGATGCAGCAGGGATAAGCACGAGACCATCTCCGCCTCGTTAACAGGGATTCCATCTTGTCGAGTGCATTCCAAACTCCCCTACAGAGAGCGAACTAACCGCGTGGCAGCTGCATTAGAATTCCACGGTGGAAGTGGCTCTTTCCCCCCTTCCCCCCTCCCCCCTCCCCCCGACAGGTTTCCAGCGGGAGAGGCTCGATCGTATCTACTTGCCCGGATATGGAGCACCTGTTCCTACTTTCAGTGACAGAGGAGGATGAATGCGTCCCTAACTTTCTGGGCTCCATCTACCATCCAAGGCGACTCGATGCCTTCTCGGGAACTCACCGCAAACCGAATGCACTTCAGGAACTGCGAACGAAAGGTCGACAACGATTCACCAAGAGCTCAAATATTTTCATTCTTCACGAACGATGACCAAATCATCAGCCTCAAAATGTTAAGCATCCACGTGGTCCAAAGATATCATGACGCATTCGGAGAGGCCCTTCGCAAAACCAAGCCAAGAACAATGTTTAGGATCGACGGAAAGCTGATGAACCGTCATTTTTCTCTCAAAATACATTCCTAATGTTCTATTAATATACTAAACCTTAGCTTTCAATTGCTGAAGTGAAGTCGGTTTGCATTATATCCCTGAAATGGTAAAATTCAATTACACTGCAATATTGGAAAAGTGCTGTTTAGGAAAAGTGCTGTTTAGGTTTTTTTCATGCCTAAAAGGCATGAAAAAAATGAGGAAGGTGAAAACCCAGAAACCCGTGAAAGGGATACTAACAGTGCAATGCCATAAGTGGACGAGAAGAAAGTTTTCTACCTCCTGAGATATTGACGCAAAAACTCGACAAGAGGAGCCACTGCATGTTTCTTCGAGAGATTGACTTTATGAATAGTCATCGACGGAGATGGATCGGTTCCGCGTTGCTCCTCAAGGTTCTGCCAGATTCCGATCGGCTCCAGAGGCGATCATTTACATGTAAACCTGTTTGGACACCGCGTAAACGCGTCTCGTAACGACGCACAAATGTGCGTTAAGTGCTTCGAGCACATAACCACCCGTATACGACAGCACGTCGGATGGACCACGGTTTCTCGAGGCAGATGACGTCGGGTCCAAACAATGCGCGACGGCGAAACGAGACGAAAAGGACATCGCAAACGCACCAGCCGGTTCGAGGACGAGGAATTTGAGGATGTCTGAGAGTGAGATCACACCCACCACTCGCCCCTCTTCATCCACCACCACCAGTCGATGCACCTGCACACAGAAAGGAGCCATCTGCACCGTGCGACCTGCATCCACGCACCTCCCCTCCGGATGTTTCCGCGCTCCTACCTCTGCCTTGGCTATCCTCGCCATGACGGTGCCGAGCGTCTCGTCGAGGTTGCAGTTGAGGACTCCCTCGAAATACTCGGTTCGATGCTCGTTGGCCTGCTTGAGACTCACTTCCAGGTTCGTGTACGTCTTCATAGCTGCCAGGTTCTGCGCATTACACCGTTCGACGTCATCATCCGAGACAGACATAGCCATCAGAATAACCATAGCATTGCATCGCATACTCCATGCCATCGATGCGAATTTACGCGGTTAACTTAATGCAACAAGATAACGGAATCTTATGGATGAGAAAACAGAAGACTTGGTGGGATATCACAGGAAGGGCATGGCCCCTCTCCCACAGGAAGGGCATTGCTTCCATCCCCACCCCATTTAATGAGGAGGATCATTAATCATCAATTAGGGGATAAATGCCTCGCAGATGAGAACATACAGGCATTCACTAACATGTCAAAGTTGGCATGAGCTTTCGCATCTCGAAACGCAGTGTCGGTACTGTGTCAAATCTGACACATGTATGCAAGAGTGCACGACAGGCACGTGATCCATATTAACCTCAAAACTCATCTTGTCGCGTTATGGGTATCTTTGACTAAGAGAAAAACCAGCCGTTCCTTTCGGTGCTTGTATGCCCTATTGGTACATGCCAATTGCCTCAAGGATTGCTCAAATAAGACAACAAAAAATTGTCCATTGGCAAAATTGGGCAGAACCAGAGTCGGCATAGTAGGCATCTTTCTTTGCATTATTTCTGCAACCATAAGCACCATTAAAAAAAGCATTGGATCATATGCTTAAAACTTATGATTCAACACCTTTAAAAAAATATATGACACCACAAGTCTGGATTTTCATTTGCAGAAGGCTTATGCATTGGGCAGTCAATCGGTTAATCCGGTGGCTAATTAACCTCATAAATACCGCACTCTCATCCAAGAGAAACTTGAATACTCATATGCAGGATCCACAAGACGGTCGCCAAATGGTAGCTAATGGTGGACTGCACTAAGCAAAGAAACAAATAATAATTTGCGACCGAAAGGATTAATGGGCATTTTCCCAGAGAGGTTCGATACGAGGCGGGATCACTCTCGGTCGAGACGATCACGTCCATCTCACCATCGGGGATCGGACCGCGGAAACAGACTCGTTACGACGATCTGTCACGAACGACTAAAAACACGATCGCACGGAGGCGGATCGAGGGCGGGCACTCACTATCACATCAAATTTGGCATAGATGTCTTTCAGCTTGTTGTCGACATCGACGATGGGGAGGGCCGAGACCCGTCGGTCGAGGAAGAGCCGCAGCGCCTGGATGATGGGCATGTCCTCGGTGGCCGTGGCCACGTTCTCGAGCGTCCCGATCTTCAGCTCCCTCAGCGTCTTGTCCAGGCTCGAGGGGCGCGGGAGTTCGTTCAGGTAGAGGCAGAGGAAGCGGAAGATGCGCTTGTGGGTGACGATGTAGAGGACGTCTCCGGTCGCGGGGTCGATCACAGGCAGACGGTGGATACGGTAGCGGATGAGCCGGCGGATCGCCTCGAACAGGGACGCTTCCGGTCCGATCGACATCAGCGGGCGAAACTCGTGCTTCAGTTGCTCTGTAAGTACGAGTTGCACGTTACGTTAGCCGATAGTGCCCGTGTATTTTTTGTCGAAAAAGTCGTAAATATACTTAGTTCAAACAATAAATTACCTTTCATGGATTAGGGATTTAAATTCCCAATCACGTTCCTACGTATCTTACTTCCCATCCCCCAATTTAACACGAGGCTGGTTGTGCACGACGGATAAGTCACACTGCTACTCCACGACCCTAGACTGTCTCTAGACTGTCTCTAGACTGTCTCTAGATACCTCCCATCGAGACCTTCCACCGACGAGCGATGCAACTTGGGGACATGGGGGAACCGTTCCCCCGTGCGAATCTTAAATACTCTCATATGCAGGGCATGGCAAGAAGAGACCGACGACTTTCCAACTTTTACATCTCCGCTCTTAATGAGACGATTTTACGACACTTGCAATAAGCACAGATTGACATGTTCCCAAAAGAAAAGTGAAATTTCATCCAAACTGATCATCGACCAAAGCAAGGCCATGAGCATTATTAAAAATTAAAAATAAAAACTGTAAATTCTACTCGGACAGAGGACTCGAATCCCTTTTCCCGAGAACCTCGTCCATAAACGAAATCCAATAGAAAACCTGTGTGAACTGTGAGCAAACTTTCCATATTAATTGATTCTAAACTTTGAGCAAACTTTCTGCATTGACATTAATTGATTCATCTGTCATTAAAACTATCTGCAAGGAAATTAATATTGAAAATGAAGTTTAAAAGGAAGAGAAGTCTGATGATATGCAATCAGAGCGCCCGGATGAACGTCATCCATTCCAGAGCGCCCGGATGAATCTCATCCATTCCAGAGCGTCCGGATGAACGTCATCCATTACACTACCCACTCGGGCTCGTTCATCATCCAGCTACAATCATTGCTCGTATCCTTGCCCCGAAAAATTAAATTTGAAGGAAATTCCAGAGATGTGGGTAATATATTTATTTAACACACTGAAAGTATTGTGAAAATAACTCCCATTGATGCACAGATGCATTAGGTAAATGGGGGTTCCTCTTTTTTTTTTGCTCATACTCAGTTTATTTGTTTTGCACTTCCAACAAGAGCTTTCATATAAATCCATAACAAACAAGCGGATTAGAGTTCTTTCCTCATCCCTCTTTCTATCCTTATCTTCTCAACGTTTCTTTCAATAGCTTAGCAAATCCCCCCCCCCCGCCTCCATTTAAATAACTTTTAAATTCGCTTGGGATAAGCTGGGTACTAAATCAAAATATTTTTCTCTCCGTCTTGAAATCAACTCTACTGGTCTCCTTTGAAAGCGACGAAAGTAGGACTTGTAAAATTAGAAAGGTTCTTGACATAGTAAACTCATCAAATTTTCAAACATCATGAGTACTTTATATACGCCAGCCGCCTTAAATAAATATTTATGGATTGTAATCGAAGCTGCTGCTACGTCCTTTAGACGAAAGTAACGAGAAAACGCAAAAACATGCAAAGATCAAAGGAATGCCCCTGAGAAATTCCGCTCCTAAAGGGGAATATCTTCCCGGATGGGAGCGGGTCGGAATCACTCATTTACAATTCAATACGGCACGGTAAAAAAA